CCATCGAAATCGATGTTTCAAGATGGTGACACCAATTGAAATATCGTCTCTGTGCCCGAACACACGATGCCGAACCTCTGCATTACTGACATGGTGTTGCCACTGGATGAAAAAAATCCTTCGGAGACAACGATGATCGAACACAGAGAGTCGTCTAACGTCCTCAACTCGGAGAGACCAGGATTCACAAGCATAGAGCAAAACTGCTCTCACCGACGCGTTGTAGATCCTACCTTTTACAGCCAGACTGACATCACGAAGGCGCCAAAGGTGGCCCAGATTGGCATAAGCCGCTCTGGCTTTCACTATACTGAAATTGATCTCATCACTCACGCCACCATCAGCACTTATGCAGCTACCAAGATACACGAACTTCTTGACTACGTCTATCTGCTCACCATCCAGAGTGAGTACAGGATTGAAATCCTGCCAGTCTGGTAGAAGTACTTTGCACTTCGAAGGTGCAAAGCACATACCATACCTACGGACATTGATTGCCAACTGATTAAGTGCGGATTGCATGGCATGGATATCATCACACAGGAAGACAATATCATCAGGATGGTCAAGGTCAGAAAGTCTTTCTCCAGGCAACAGATCCACACCACCATTACCTACATCCATCAGAGCAGTTTCCAGAATGTCATCGATGGTATAATTGAAGAGGAATGGTGAGATTGGGCAACCCTGCCTAACCCCACTGCTCGAATGGAACAATGGAGAGAGGTGGTTGTATGCTCTCACTCTGCCTGAGGTGTTTTATATAGGGCTTTTAGGATGTTAAGAAACTTCTCAGGCACACCCTTCTTCAATAGACAATACCAGAGAACAGTCCTGTCCAACGAATCGAAGGCAGCCCTGATGTCAAGAAACACTACGATTGTTGGCCTTTGACAAGTATGACGGTGTTCTAACATTTAGTGGAGGGAGAAGATATGATCAATCCATCCTCGACCAGAACGAAACCCAGCCTGCTCCTCGCGAGTCAATCTTTCTCGGGTTTTGAACAACCTACGAAGTATGACGGAAGCCAATAGCTTGGACGCAATAGGAAGTAGACTTATCCATCGATAGTTGTTACAAGAACGAGGTGAACCCTTTTAAAAGATAGGGGCAACTATCGACTCATTCTATGACGTTGGTACACTCTCTAGTTCCCAAACCTTTGTAAACAACGTCGTCAATTCCTTAGTCAGAAAGTCACCACCATCTTTAAAAAGAGCCGGAGGTAAGTCATCTGGGCCAAGTGATTTGTGACGCTTCAAGAGTTGGAGTTCCTTGCGGACTTCCTCCTCGTTTGGTGGATCAGTCGTCACCGGCCACGGAGGGCAGGACAGTCTGACCGATGTTGCCGGAGCAGCAGGCCAGTTGAACTGCCCTTCGAAAAATTCTGCCCATCGTCCAAGACGTCGATGGATGTTAGTGATTAGCATCCCATCAACCTCGCAGATTGTTTCACTCACACCAGACTTCTTGCTGCCAGTGGCTCGGATGAGCTGGAATAGCTTCCAGTAGTTACCAGATGCAGCTGCTGCTTCCAGCTCATTAGCACGCTCCGACCACCAGGCTTCTCGGTCCTTACGCAAGCTTTGCCCAATTTCCTTACGTAACATACTTCGTTTATGGTCAAACTCACGGTCAGCCGGAGTAGACCGACAGGCATCAATGAGTTGTAAGGAACCAGAAGAAACCCGGTGGTTTAAAGCGGGACGTTTCGCAAACCCACAACTGACTGTTCCCGCCTATTTCATGGCGTCATGCAATTGCAACCAATGCTCATCTATACTTTTCGGTGGAGTGGTAGCTAGCCTAGAGGCTAGCTCGGTTCGATACTTACTAGCAACAGAAGTTGCAACCAGCTTGCTAAAATCAATCCGTCGATGGCGGTCACTTCGTTGTCCACTGAAAAGTAAGGCAAGATTGGCGCAGACCAAGGCATGGTCAGAGTCCAGATAGGTACTCCAAAAGGAGCGGCAGTCTTGTACACAACCACGCCAGCGGTAGCTGATCGCGATGTGATCAATCTGAGTCCAGGCTTGAGATGCAGAAGGAGGACTCCAGGTGGCACATCGGCGATGACTGTGCCGAAAGTTAGTGCTAGCCAGAAACAGGTAAAAATCTGTGCACAGTTGCAGTAGACGGTCCCTGTTATCTGACCTGCGACCAACGAGTCCCCATCGGCCACCTAGACGAAACTCTTCTGTGCCTAGACGACCGACCTGAGCATTAAAGTCTCCGGCTAGTACTACAATATCTGTCGAACGCACTTTCTGGAGAAGAACAGATAACTGGTGGTAAAACTCATCCATGATTGCATCCGGGCTGCAATCTGTCGGGGCATAGGCGGCGATGACGAAGAGACATGGTTTCTCACACCGATTTCTTCTCACTTTGATGGAACTCTCTAATCTAACAGCACATAACCGACTGTTAATGCGCATCCAATCGACTAGTGCTGCCTCAGCTCTAGCGCTTAGTGCGACACCAACGCCAGCAAGACCAGACGAAGACGCCACAGGGTCCCCGGATAGGCGCACGTAAAACAAGCTTTTCGTAGCGACAAATGGAGATCGAATTTGTAGTACTTCGCCAGAGTCTTGAATACGGGTCTCAGATAGACAACAAACATCAATATTGAGACTTTTCAAAGACAAAGCTAGTCCTATCTGTTGTCCGAACTGCATAAATGTGCGAACGTTTGAGGCAGCCAGTTTGAATGGTGCACGTAGTTTCAGAAAAACTGCTTCAGTCTCGCCTTCGGTGGTACCATGCAATTTTCAACCGGACAGTGACTCGAGAACGATTAGATAGAGTCGAATTTACACCAAAGACGAGCCGCTGTATAAGTATAAAAGAGGGTGAATAATGTTTACTTACTTACTTACGCCTGTTACCCCTCGTGAAGGAGTATAAGCCACTCACCAGCATTCTCCATCCAACCCTGTCCTAGGCAATCCTTTCCAGCGCCTTCCAGTTGTAATTCATCCTTTTCATATCTGCTTCTATAATCCGACGCAATGTGTTCTTTGGCCTTCCTCTTTTTCGCTTCCCTTCAGGGTTCCAAGTTAGGGCTTTCCTCGTGATGCAGTTTGACGATTTGCGTAATGTATGTCCTATCCATTCCATCGTCTTTTCCTAATTTCTTCTTCAGCTGGAAGTTGGATTGTTCTCTCCCACAGAAGGCTATTGCTGATGGTATCCGGCCAGTGGATGTTGAGTATCTTGCGTAGGCAGCTAATTATAAATACTTGTACTTTCTTGATTGTGGTTGTTGTAGTTCTCCAGTTTCAGCTCCGTACAGTAGAACTGCCTTGACGTTCGTATTGAAGATTCTCACTTTGATATTGGTTGAAAGTTGTTTTGAGTTCCATATGTTCTTCAATTGTAGGAATGCGACCCTTGCTTTGCCGATTCTCGCCTTTACGTCTGCATCTGAACCTCCTTGTTCATCGATGATGCTTCCTAGGTATGTGAAGGACTCTACATCTTCCAGAGTTTCGCCATCAAGAGTGATTTGATTGCTGTTCTGCGTGTTGAATTTGAGGACCTTGGTTTTCCCTTTGTGATGCTGAGGCCTACTGATGCAGAGACTGCTGCTACACTGGCTGTCTTCATCTGCATCTGTTCGTGTGTACGTGATAGGAGGGCTAGGTCGTCTGCGAAGTCCAAATCGTCTAATTGATTTTGAGTTGTTCATTGTATTCCGTGTTTTCCTTCAGATGTCGAGGTCTTCATAATCCAGTCGACCACCAGAAGAAAGAGGAAGGGAGAGAGTAAACAGCCTTGTCTGACTCCAGTCCTTACTTGGAATGCACTGTCAGCTATCATAACAGTAAATTATCAGTAATCTAAATAAACAAGATGAATTTTTGTATGACTGAGGAAAATCCCAAAATATAGAAGTCGGGGTCTTGATTAGTATACTACTGAGGTTAAATCACTCCTCGCATAGATGTTTCATTCATTTTTAAGCATGTTAATGTATGTCTTTTGATCATGTTTGTTGGAACAAGCGTGTTTCAGCCGAATAGGGTCCGTTGACGGCTTTTCTAAAATGTCAATCAACACTAGAAAGTGTTCATTTACTTAACTTGCTCTTATGTGGTATATTTAAGTCAGCATAAATCCAGGTTAAGATCAGCTGTAGAGTTTTTGGCCTTTCCGGTTCCACCTAGGTTTGATGTGCCTCTGGCACTAAATATGTATACTGATTAGTTTTTTTGCTTAAATACTATAACCATCTTTTAGTTGATTATTTATCATATACGTCACTAGTTGTAACGTCAGCATGACACTTTTAACCTGAGACAGTGTGCCTGATTTGTTAATATGATTCTGTTTTACACTAGTGTAGCAATTACCTTTCATAAATAGAGATCGTTTTCAGTAGAGATACGCACATTATAAGCATTAGCTCTTCTGATAAAATGCGTTAAGTCCAATAGTCTGCAAATTAGAGCTACCATATCGCAATCTTTTTCCGATACATGTATTCGTAGTTTTGTTTCCTGGCGGATTACTTTGGTCTGTATGTAAGTATTGCAGATAATTCAGGTTGTACATCATGTATCTATAAGTTTTTTTTATTTAAAATTTGTTATCTGTCTCTGGCTGTCAGATCGCTATCATTCAGTTTGATAATGTAGAGTACAATATTTGATGAAGGAAAAACCAGCTTATGTGATAGTGGCAGTTCACGTTAAGTAGTATCATTTTAAAATCAATATATGTGGTGACAGTTTTTTGCTTGTACATGATAGTATTTTCAGATAAGGCCGTTATAAGATGTCGCTGCGTTTAGTGGAATGTAAAATGACTTTATTGAGTCAAAATAATGGTCACTTTTGGTATTTATGAATCACTTTAAAAGGTGGATGCTGTGGAGCTGCGAAAGTGCGTACAATAATTGGTGGGTGGGGTTGGGCTTGGTGGCTTGTCACTGAAGTTCAAAAGTAAATCTATTGAGTTATTATCAGACCTCCAGAATTTCTCTAGGAGTTATGACTCTAAATCCAGTCTGCGAGAATGTGGAAACATCAGAAGGTGTTCCTTTAACTGTGACAGGTAACTTGTTGATTTGCATTGGTCTTTAAACTATATTTTTCATTGATAGGTGTGGCACAAGTCAAGGTGATGCGGGATGACAAACTGCTTGAGGCAGCATGTCAACAATTTTTAGGGAAAAAACAACGAGATATTCAAAACACTATACTTCAAACGATGGAAGGACATTTAAGAGCTATACTTGGCACTTTGACAGTGGAAGCCATCTATCGTGTTAGTTTTTATCTTTTTCACCAACTTTAATCTTTATGAAAGGTTATACGAGCACAGCATTGTTCGTTTGTGGTACTTCATATTAGCAAAGTGTTTTAAAAAATCGCGGTTAGGCTCTACAGATTCGGCGTTTTGTAAATTATCCTGGTCGAAAAATATCTTCTATGCAATTTTGCTGATAATGTGTGAATTTTCGATATTGAAATTTATATGGTATGTGTACTGCTAACCCTTGTTAAATTTGATTCTCAATCAACAAATCGCATGTTAGATCTTACATTTCCTGTCAATTACAATTCATGTTCCTCAGTTGACATTTGATTTTTCGTTGAAGCTGCTAATAGTGTCTGTTAAAAAATATCAGGCTATATGTACCAGAATTTTGTCATACGTCAGCCGAATCCAAATTCTATATGTTTCCGTCATTTTAATGAAATATTTCCTTCTCTTTTACTAAAAACGTTTTCAGGGCAAACCGGTTTATTGCATTTGTAAATGTTTACATGTTCCACATCAATCTCAACCTGTTTGCTCATAAGTATTCATTCGTCGTTAGTTCTAAAATCTTAGAAACTGTTCTATTTAAGTAACCTCGATATATCACTTTTAGAATTTTTACCAGTATTCAAAATCGAATTAGAAACTAATGATCTCCCCATTTTGTACAGTAGCCCTAACTCTCATATCATAATTAAGTAAGAGAAACTGAGGGAGTTAATTATAGGGGCTCGGTCTGTTTGTTGAACATTTATGTTTGATTTGGATTTTGATGAAATTAAGACAAAAGGCAAACTTAACCTTAGCATGTTGTGTAATTCTCCTGATTCCCTATTGTGGACTTGGACATCACATAGAATGTGACATTAGATACTAGCTTTTCTAGTTTGTAAGCCAATGGAATCCAAATTATAAGTGCATTATGAAGGCCCTTCTAACGTATTCCTTAAAGCTTCTAAAGTTTATATATATATATATATATATATATATATATATATATCAGTAATTGGGATTAACGAGTATCCTCTTTGTTTTAGGATCGCGATCAGTTTGCTGCTCTTGTTCGAGAGGTGGCAGCACCAGATGTAGGACGAATGGGAATTGAGATATTAAGTTTTACCATAAAAGATGTTTATGATCGTGTGGAATACTTAAATTCTCTGGGACGCGCACAAACAGCGAACGTCAAAAGAGATGCTGATATCGGAGTTGCCGAAGCAGAACGTGATGCTGGAATCAAGGTATTCTTTCTATGCAGTGTTATTATATCTTTCAATAGAAAGTTCTTGGTTATTTATTGGTCATTTCAGATTAACCATATACTTTGCAATAGTTTTATGGGTGCAAATATGTTATAACTTGTGGCCTGTGTGTCCCGTTAATGTATAACGTGACGAAACCGCCAATTAGAGAGCGGTGAATTATCAATCGAACCAGTGACGCGTAAAACCGTACGAGCAATCTAGAGTCCTTATTGGTCATGCTTTCCGCCTAGCCCAGTCAGTTAAGTCCAGAAGACCAATCTCAGCCTCTGCGATATGAATCATTTATATCAAGCATACTGGGTTTATATACTAGCCAGACCACACCGTACCATGAAATAGGAAACAACATTTGTACAAAATTTGGCCAAATGTGGCTGTGAATGTGGGAGGTAGTAATTAATAGACAGGGCATAATTCAAGAATGGTAAATCATATAATAATAGTTCATAGGTCAAAATAAAGCTCATAATAAGAGGGACATGAATATAAACAGTTTAGTTATTTAACAATTATACGATAAAAATATTCGCATAGTATTGGTCCATAAATGGATCTCAAAGTTACCATTCATTATGCTTATTGGGACCTAACAAAATATATGAAAATTCCTTTGTACTCACTGAATTATTAAGATTCTAAGTTTCTCATGGCGTTTTTTGTCTTTGTCTCACTAATTTATAGTTTCCCGAGTCATATCTTCCTAATAGGATAAATTGGCTGATGTAAAGTGTTGGTGTACTGGTCGAGGTGCTCGGTTTTCAGCTATAGACTCCTTGGTTAGAACCCCACTTCATTTACTTCAATCTGGGCCGCGAAATAGTGCCATGATTCCTCACACTTAGGAATGTGGCTCATACTCACGTACTTGGTCAATAATACATTTATTATTTTATTAAATTAGATGTGGTAGTATAAAGTGATATATGCTTGCTTACTCAATTGATAAGCCTTGAAAAACCAGTGAATGTTAACGACTGACCTCATCTAGTTTTATTTATTATTTCTAATTACTAAATAAAAATTCAGTATTTGATGTTATTTTGGCACCAATCGCTTTATGTTTTGATACATCGGTACCTAAACTCAGATATTGTATATTAAGCTCTTTTTATTAATGAGCTTTTGACGACGTCTTATGTTAATAATGAAACAGCCAATGTTATAAAGTATATGTCGGTGTAATATATCTCAGTCAGTCCGTTCTGTTTTACTTTAGGGCTGCTAAACGTGACCATTAAGAGTCGAAGATATCCATAAGCTACTAGCATTTGACCACAGATGCTTTAGAAATATTGTTGGCATCTTCTGGGATCACCGGGTAAGTAATAGTGAGGTTAGATGCAGGGTATTAGGGAACGATGGTAAATCAGTTGATGAGGTTGTGAATCTTCATCGACTGAGATGGTTGGGCCACGTGTTACGTATGCCTGAATACCGATTACCACGACGTGCAATGCTGACTGGTGTTGGGGATGGTTGGAAGAAAGTTAGGGGTGGCCAAAACAAAATGTGGCATCAGTCCTTGAAGTCACTAACTTCTTATCTGAGCCATGCTGGTAGATGCAGACTACTTAGTTGGAATCCGCGTGACTATCGTAACCAATGGTTGGATACTCTGTGTGACATGGCTCAGAATCGATCAGAATGGCGTAGGTGTATACACTCTTTGTCTTCCCTTAAATTAAGAGATTAAAGTCGCTTCATATCTTTCTTTCCACGAACTAATTCTTTCTTACGTCCTTATATGTAATCTTTCTTTTATATATTACCATCACTACTTCTATGAATCCGGTGTTCATCTTGTTGTGCTAATGAGGTATAGCAAATTTGACCGATGCATATATGTGCTAGATCCTACGTTTTAGCTGACTGACTGAATCTATCTCAGCTGCCTGATATGGTGCTCATAATTGACTTTTAGACTCATGGATTTTATTTCTAGTAAGTACGTGTAACTAAGTTACAAAAACTAAAACCATCAGTTTTCATTACCTCGTGTATTTCTTTTTCTGTTAATCAGCCTATAAAAAGATAAGAAGCGTTCATTGTTCTCCATAGGAGAGTTAATATCTTCAGGTCAACAAACACTAGACAAGCATAAAATAAGTCTATTGATAGATCTGACAGTAAATAAATGACAACTCTGTGTATTTTTACTGCAACAGGTCAACAATGAGGGCAGACTCTGAAGGAACTATTCTATGGATTGAATCATTTCAAGTATTTTATAGAAGTTGTATTTTGTATTACGATGAATTCCAAAAAGACATAAAATAGTTCATTTATTTCCTCAATAACGAACACTTTTCTGTGCAGTTTCTGGGTTTGTGATGTTCGAATGAAGTCAGGATTTTTCCTCCAGATTTTTATTCATAATTTAGGACTATCAACTGATTTAATTTCAAGTGGTCTCATTAGGGACTTACTGCACTATTTGTGAGGGTATGTATTTATTTGGACTTCGTAATCTTCATGTATCAGGCTTTATCCCGTCTTTTGGATGTAGTATTGCTTGAAGACAAATAGTTTTGACTGATAAAGAGCACTTCAAAGTTGATCAACATTCTGTTTCTTCCTAGTTTAGGATTACTCAGGTACATACAACTTCGCACTCTTACGGGGTCGGGTCCAAGATTACTGTATTTCACAATGAGTGAGATTCTCTTAGATAACCGGAAGTCGATTAAGAGTTTCTCAATTATCCTTTGACGTTATTGTCCGTCTTTTTTCATTGTCTTATGTTTCTAATTTCAATGAATCCATTTACCGGATACTTGGATATAAGCCACATTTTGTGTGGGGCTGAATGATATTGTTTGGTCGCCCAAACTGAAGTAGAAGGTGTAGGGTTTAAAAATGGGACTTGGTAAATGAAAGTCGAACACCTTAACCACTTAATCGCCACTCCGCATTGTCTGGACTTTGATAACTTTAGGAAATCTTGGTTTTCTGAAATTCAGAAAGTTTATATGGAAACAAGCTATTGAGCTTTAACTAGATTCATTCTGTGGGGTGGAAGGTAGGTAAAATTGTTTAACGCGAATCTGTAGATTCTACTATGTCTTCTTAATGAATTGGACTCTCTAGTTCTCTCGTAAATGTTGACGTAAGACATTTTCCCTTTACCCGAATTAGGAAAGACTTTCTCTAACTTCATGTTTGAATGTGTAATGGCAACTTGAAATGATGTACGTACGTACGAAGTCCTACGTTGTTGCTGACTGAGACTGATAGTGAATAGATGTAACATTAGGTGCTTAATTTTTATTTCAAAGTGTAGTTCAGCAGTTGGAAGCTTCAAATTTAAATGTTATTGTTTACTGTCTTCTGCTACTGAGCAATAAAATATTACGTTACGTGTTAAATAGTTCTCAGTAAAACTTTAAGATTGTAGTTTCATGCAGTTTAATTTAACAATAAATTCTCGCACGTTGTCTTCTATATTAAAACTGATCAATCCAATTTCTTTATTGTGTTACTGAGTATTTGTAAACGTAACATTTGAGACTGAAGAGTGTCTGACACCGATTAATATTACATTACTACCTACAGTGGCATATCTTCTTCTTGACATTTTATTTATTCAGAAGTTTATGCCATGAAAATAGTGTTTATTGATTAATTAAATCTTATTTCATCAGCAGTTCTGTACACCCCTCTGTTCTATCTTGGGCACCTTGTTTAACTGTGAGTGTAAAATACATTACTGTTTCTATCATAGCCTCTGTCTTTAAAATAACACCGTTTACTATGACGCACAATGCTGACTGGTGTTGGGGATGGTTGGAAGAAAGTTAGGGGTGGCCAAAACAAAATGTGGCATCAGTCCTTGAAGTCACTAACTTCTTATCTGAGCCATGCTGGTAGATGCAGACTACTTAGTTGGAATCCGCGTGACTATCGTAACCAATGGTTGGATACTCTGTGTGACATGGCTCAGAATCGATCAGAATGGCGTAGGTGTATACACTCTTTGTCCTCCCTATAGCCGCGAGACTAAAATTACTTTATAGTTTTCTAATTCCTTGTTCCTGTATTATATCCTTATACATAATCTTTCTTTTATGCATTACCATTGAGGTGACTACTTCTATGAATCCGGTGTTCATCTTGTTGTGCTAATGGGGTGTGGCAACTTTGACCGATGCATATGTGTGCTAGATCTTACGTTGTAACTGACTGACTGACTGCGTTTAAAATATATTTTCATTTCTCGTCAAATGTTTGCCAGCAGTTTGTTTAAATGTTGTCGTTGCACTGAAGTTACTGTTAAATTACCATGTGTTGTTTACAATCTTACGCTATCTCTTCCCAGTAAGTATCCTGGGATTATTGATTATTGTCATTATAAGTAATTGATCTCAAAAAAGTAAAAACTGTATCACCTACATAATAGCGTTACTCGCAAGACGCTAAAATATCTAGTATTAATTAAAATGGTTTATATTCACGATTTCTACTCTTAATGTGTTTTTTCTTTGCCGAAGTTTGAAATCTTTTCCAAAGTTAGCTTAACTTTAAATGTAAACTGGAAAGTTGGTATAAGCTCATTATGTTACAGTCTGCTAAGTGTCAGTGTTGTATCATCGATCTTTTTTTGTTTAGGAAGCAGAATGTGATCGTTGTCGTTTGGACGTTCGTTATTCAGCCGATACGCATATTGCTAATTCAAGTCGTGAATTTCAATTGAGGAAGGCTAGTTTTGATCAAGAGGTTAATACAGCTCGTGCAGAATCTGAATTGGCCTATAAATTACAGGTAATTGAAATAAATACAGAGTATATTTTTGGACACTATACTCTATGAGTAAGCTTTTTTTTTTCTCAGCATTTTTAGACAGATTTGTGTGCGAACTACATTTAATGCTGGTTTATAAGTGTAGGTCTTTTGTTGTACGTAAGTGGTATATATTTTTTTGTAATACACTTTGTTAATTCGCAGTTATTTATTATAATAATTGGTTGGAACTGATAAATTTCAGCTGTTGATTCGCTGAGTGATCTAAGTTCATATTATATATCAGTCAGGTTGTCTTATCACTATTTCATCAAAGGTCATTGTTGTGACTGATTCGGTCAGCCATATAGGTTGCGTGGGACTTGATATCCATGTGTTTCGGTTCAAATTTGTTACATATGACATTACACTGAGAAAAAAATTAATAAATCAGAAAGAAAGCAGATGCTTTTGGGAAAGTCGATTTCAGTGGAGAACTGAACATATACCACTTCCAAAAGTATGAACGAAATCAGAGCATCCAATTACATTAAGCTGAGTGCTTAAAGGAAAACAAAGAACGAATAAATCTACGCCACTGCAACCTTTGACCAATAGATCTTAAGGTCTCCAACTGTAGATTATAATTATCAGATCGAGCCGAAATTGGCGATAACTTCGTAAGTTAATATCATGCCTTGATTTGCCTGTCTATAGGATATGTACCTCAACCAGAATATTTTATCAAGATAGTGGATTTTCTGGGGGATTTATAAAAAGACATTGTTGTAAAATCTTACAGCATCGGTGAACAATGATTTGGTGTCTAGCTTCGTGGTTATAAGTATGCAGTACATTCTTATCCAATAGTTCTCTTAAACTACGAATGTGTAGTTATGCTTGGTTGATGTGTTTATCATTCATTGTAAAAGTTCTCAACCATGACCTTATTCAATAAAAAAGTATGCTTCTGAGCACTTACCGCAAGTGTTTTGCTCCCTTACACAACAGTTGTCGTCATACTTATAATGAAATCGTTTGTGGTTCTACATGTTTCAATTTTACCCATGCTAGCGTGCAGACGGACATTTGACTTAACGATACCATACGTGAACGCCTTCAAGTTCGTTAGTTGTACGCAAATCCAAAAAGAGTGTAGGAGAAATCTTTTCCCATATTAAAGTGAAGTGATTATTCATTATTTATCTGTTTGACATTTTAGTAGAGTGGTTTTGACCAAACTAGTAAACTACTTTATTTTGAAGTTTATTTTATTTTATAAAATAAACTTTATTTTGAAGTAGATTTGTATAAACAGTTTCCTAGTTTGTTAACTTACAAGTTTTACCATGTCTTATTTATTTATTTGAACATATAAATATTGGTACAAGGGGGCACCAGATCTATGTGCTCCACACAGTTTTACCTTTTAATATCCACAATACGAGTAATTGAAAGTATTTTCCTTTTTGCTATCAGCTGGCGTAGACATAACTATTAAAGAGCTAACAAAGAAAGTTAGTTGGTTCCTATCGTCTTGAAATTATGAACCTTGTTATGGTCATTTTTGTCGGTTGATTATCATCAACATACCTCAATGTTGAGAATTGTATTATAATATTATTTACTGACACGTTGAAAAAGGATATATTGTGCAAAACTGTTCTGTATTTGTAACTGCAAGAATAGTTGATCGTGATAAACAAAATGTATTGTTGTTTATGTCCATTTTAGGCTTTTGACATTTGGGATTTGACTGTAAACATTTAAACATATAGTTTTGGATCTATGTACCTGATAGCTCAAAAGTCAATACTTTGAATTGTGTAAATCAAATAAGTCAACAAACATTTGTTGAGTATCTATCATTTCGTTACGCATTACTAATAAAAAAAGGAAGGAAAGAGGATGAATAAGATCACTAAGTGACTGATAGACATATGTAACATGCTGGATATATTTTAAACGGATCGTAAACCAAAAAAAGAACAATTCTAAATCTTAAAATTACTTTGAATGATGTTTAAAACTAGGTCAGTTGTGGTAATTATTGATGGTACCTTCAAGATGAATGTTATTATCGGTTTGTGCATGACTTAATCAAGATATCGATCCATAAATGTTTAATTTATTATTAAGGTCAACTAACTAATGTAAACGATTGTTTAAAGAATTCCAATTTTTTTTAAAATGAATAAATAAGTTTTGCTATCATCATTATACACAAGAATTATAATCCGCTTTGGATTAAAAATAAATGTAGAATAATGTAGTTGGTTAGTATGATTATACAAATAGTTAGTAAATAGATAATGTATTAAATGTAAATGGCAAAACATTATTCTGTATAAAATTTGTAAGAATAGTTCATGAATAATATAGCTATTATTGATATTTTATTGTAGCTAATGAGTGGATTGTTCTTCAACTTATAAATTATAATATCAACAAGTATTCACGCAACTTTGGTCTAATTTATGTAATCTACGGAACTGCTGAAGGTACTACCAAATTACTTTTCGTATTGTTAGGTAGTAGGTTTCTCATTTATTGTAGTTGTTTTGAACTTTTATAACTGATCAAAATCATTTATTGGGTTGTTGCTAACCTTTAGGCTGCTAAAGAGAGACAAAAAATTCGAAAAGAAGAAGTGAACATTAATATTGTTGAGCGTCGTAAACAAATTGAAATAGAAGAAAAAGGCATATTATGTACTGAAAAGAATATGGATGCTACTGTACGACGTCCAGCTGAAGCAGAAGCTTATAGACTACAACAAATAGCTGAGGGTTATAGGTATGCTGTGTTTTAATGAATTGGATGACATTATTTGTTTCACACTAATATATTAGTCCTATCAACTTATATGTAGTTAATTGTTGTGTTTTAAAATATCCATTAAACTAATGAGAGTACTTACAATATTGATTTTTAATTATTCATTTCTCAAAAGTGCTAACTTGACATTAGAGTTGTTGTCTAACGATTTTGACTTTTCAGCTTTTTATTTATCATAGCCGTTCTTATTTTGCTATGGACTTTAAAGTTAATTCAGCTGAGTAGTTAAAAGAATTTAGTGTGTGCACCTACAAGCTTAAACCTGTTACTTCTTATACAATCTAATCATCTTGGGTAGTATTCTTCTTTACTTCTCTGTAAATATGCTTTGTTGTGTATATATGGAGGAGAACGTCTTCTTGAGATGTTTATGAGGTTGCGTGTCAACTCAGTCTTGAATTCGACCCACAGGGTAACTTCATGACATCATTAGACAGCTGTCCAGCACTTTTTGGTCTTCAGTACTTCTCTAACTGACGCCATCCAGTGATTTAAAACTGCAAAGACAGTTGATAATTGCAATAGTTTACTGAAATCTTTCTGTTTACTTAATATCATATAATCAAAATGGTACTGAATAACACATCACAAAATGTAATAACTAATGGTAATTTAGAGATCGTAAGTATACATTAAAATAACTCAGTAACAACTTTCCACTGAATTTTAGACTATTTCGAAAGTGATTGCTGTCTTAAATGGGCGGTCTACTTACGTTAATCTCGACTGTATAATTTGTTATTCACGGTAAATAAATCCATCTTGAACTTTCATTTGTGTATATTATAGCATTGCTTGATAAACTTAGATTATAATCAAGTTAAAAGAAATGCGATATATATATATATATATATATATATATATATATATATAATATGTGAGAGATTTAGAAATTGAGTAACTGATCTGCAGATAGGACACAACTTAAATCTAAGTTGGTATACTTTACGTCAGTAAAGAAGTAAGAAGTGAAAAACAGGAATGTGGGAACAAGCATTTCATACTTGTTATTACTATTTTTGTCAGTTCTCCAAGAATTACTGTAGGCTAGATCACCATTGGAAACCGTCCAGTGCTTTCAGGTTTCTAATGGTGGTCTAGCTTACATTGACTCATAAATTCAACTATTACAATTACTACAATCTCCACAAACCTCCAATCACAATTCTTCAAGAGCCTTAACATCAATGCTTATTAATTATTGTATTGTTATCCTTATAAACATATTGTATTAATTATTTCGACTTTACATTGCTATTTAAGTCAATAAGACAAATGTATCCAGACTTTTTTGACGTTATTTGAGCGTATTTGCATTTTATTGCATTGGATTAGGTATTTATTTAATGAGCCACTTCAGACAAGAAAGTATGTACTGTTCCTTAATTCTTGAAGTAAATCTCAGAATTCTTCAGATTTCCTTGGCAAGTGTGTTTAGTCTGAATTGCCAACAATTTGTTGTTCAGTGAACGTTCAATGCTATCATCGAATATTTACTCCTTTTCATAATGTAGTTGATCGCAATTTAGAAATAAACAGCACGTTTATTTCTCCAGTTTTCTTCTATTTAGTCTTCCAACTCCCGTTAAATCATAGATTATCTGCAAAATCATACATTTAAAAAAACAATTGTAAAATTCTTCACTGAATAATTAATTCATTAATAATCAGTGAACGATCACCATATCCGATTATAGGATAGAAGATAAAATTCTAGTTCAATTACATTAGAGTAGTATGAAAAATGTACTGTGAATAAAACATCTGTCATTGGATTTTAATTACAGGTTTATTGTACTATGTTTCGATACAGTCTACTTTTTTTTCGGACTGCAAAGAGATTCTTCAATAAAATTCTGCCAGTTTTACAAATGTAGATTTTCATGTTAACCATCTTCTATTCATATTGTCTTCTAGTATTTTCTCACTTTCATTATTTTGATAAAATTAATCACATTATATCTAATCTCCTCTTATCTCTTATTTTTTATAATAAAAACAAATGATCGTTCAATTAAGATTGAGAATACTGTAGTTTATGGATAATTTATGTTTAAGCAAAAAACCAATATTATATTTCTTTCCTAATTCCAGTCAGTACTTTTAATGTGTAATTCTTTTTAATTTGATGAGTACTTCTCGTTGTTGTACTTTATAAAGTATAGTAAAGTAAAAATGTTATTTACCTGCAACTTTTAATAGTATAAATAGTGTATACGAAATGTGATGATATTTTTTGCTATCGTTCTTGCCAAAAATATACTAGTAAAAATACTTTACTGACAGATGTGTGATAATGTATTTGTAATATCATAGTGAGTAAAAAAATTAGATTTTCTGACGTTTCTCTGAATAAGTGGCTTACACTCATTGGGATATTACAAATATATTATTTATAACATTCTACCCAATGCTCAATTTATTTGAAGTTATCAAGTCAAACCTTGGTAATGGTACCTACAAAAAATGATGACTGTTTATTCTTCTATTAAATGTTATTTCAGATCACAAAAAATTCTTTTAGCTCAAGCTGAGGCCGATGGTATTCGTCTTAAAGGTATTGCTAAAGCTGAAGCTATGGAAGCTGTTGGACGGGCAGAAGCTGAGAGAATGCGTTTGAGGGCTGAAGCTTATAGCAAATACGGTGATGCTGCTATTCTAAATCTCATATTGGATACATTACCGCAAATAGCTGCTGAAGTTGCTGCTCCACTGAGCAAAACTAAAGAAATTGTTATTATGAATGGTTCTAATGGCGAACCAGCTACTTTACAAAGTCTCACTAATCTGGGCAAAGATTTTACTACATTAGTTGGGACTGTTCCACATGCTATTCGAGCTCTAACAAATGTTGATCTCAGTCAGGTTAGACTTTTTTTCGTTTTATCGTTACTTTTTACATTCCGGTTTGTGTTCGGTTTTAAGTGTAATATTATTGTTGACTCTACGCTGTATGTTTACCGAAAGATATTGTTAAGTTTTGGTATTCATCACTAGTATTTTATTAATTAAACATCTTTTTTAAAACACTATATCATCACTTCGTTTAGTTGAGCTGATTTATATTAACAAAGTTTGAATATTCCAACTCAGAGCCAAAACTTTCTTAATGCTACCTTCGGAATCTTATCAGCAATAGTTAGAATCACAATAAGTGTCCATATGACTTACATTCCCCGATTAGAGTTGCGCGTCTAGGTAAATCATGTGCTGTTGCTCAAACAACGATGATAGTTTGGTCCAGAGTACTGATTATTATAACAATATATATGTGATTAAAGTTGGTTCGGTCAACATACTAATAATAAATTCATCTTAGTTTCTGTATCTGTGTGAACATGCTTATATTAAGTGCACAGTAGTTTTCTTGTTGATTAGCTTTTTATAGGGAACTTTCTGGTAATCTCTTTTTAATTCCATTGTTGATTAGTATCAGTTGAAAATATATTATGCGTGAAAACATTGAAAAGCTTACTTGATCTGATATGCAGCTTTTCAGAACACAAAATTTACTCTTCCTATCGTATTCAATCATATTATGGTGTAAGCTACTTATAGGGACAGGTATAAGTGTGGTGTATGCTGCTTCTTCTGACAGAGATAAATCATATGTAGCGAAAATCGGGTGTGGAATGCTTGCCAGCAGAAGATTGAATTGAAGAAACAGAGCAATTGGAATAACAACAGAATTGAAAAAACCATGAAGCGTATAGAAGGCAACTGATGGAGGATTTGCAAATAATGTATTCAACGTTTAATTTCCATATTTTACGAAGGCACTGGGTAGTTCTGCATTAAATAGTATATTGGTTTTCTACAACTCAGTTCTCGTTCAATGTATATGTAGTTTGTATCGGCGATCCAAAGTAGGATTGTTACCAACAGAAGAGGAAAATGAGAAGGGGAAAAAGCAAAGGTAGTTGGATTATCAACAGAAACTGAAAAACGATGGAGTTTGGAAGAGACAATTTAAGGAAGTTGTTCGAATGTTGTATCCAATGTATTGTTTTCGTATTTTAAAACTCCAGAATAAACTATTATTAAAGTCCTTTTTGAGTGATTCACTGGGTTGTTCCAAACTGTGTAGAAAATTCGCTGTAGAGATAATCGGTTTCTTTTAGAACTCAGAATATTTTATGTGTGGGTTTCTAGAGACAATAATATTAATTCATAGTTATTATTTCTCACTGTAAAAGTGTCACAATGTCCTAGGTTATATCAACCAGAAAAGCAAATCTCCTAAAAATATCCCAGTAATTTTTATCGTTAATAGTCAGCTACTATGATTTTGTTTGGTTGTATATAAAAACTTATGAGTATTCTAATATTTTTATGGGGAGTACAACTCATCAGTGTTATTGTTGACTGCTGAAGCACAAATTGCGTAATAAGTAGGGATTTTTAGCGTAACAGTTAATCAATTTTGCTTGACCTATTTCATGAGATCATCTATCAGTCTGTTAATGGTTTCATAAATCAGCAGTATGTTAATTTGTAAAATGCTTTCTAGATACATAATACCTTTTGAAGTTATTTGGACATTCTGGTTTGAAACAGTTTGTACTTTGAATAGTGTGTTAATTTAAAAAAAAACAACCCGTAAGATATGTGGCCTAATGGTTAAAACATTCTATTAAGAAACAATAAGTAGCGTGTCTAAATCCCACTTTATCCATTACATTCTAGGCACAAGTATTATTATTATCAACCCTCATACAATGTATGGGTTCAAAGTTACGTACACAAAACCTATATTTGATTAATAAATAAAATTATATATTATTATCTTGGTCACATATTTCACTAAGTATGTTATTTTATTTATTCTTATTGCATAGCGTAGAACTGTTACCAATATTTTCATTTTCCTTAGCGGAACGTTTATTCCCTTTGTCAGGTTTAGACTTGGTGACTTAGTCATCAATGTGCTAATTTTTCCATATTAATCTAAGCTATTTGTAAAGAATTCTCATTTACTTAAGTATTAATATAAGACATTCCCGACCGTTGTTGCTACCTTGACGTGGTAGTCGGGCTTGCCTATCGTGATAAAACAACCGAGCTATACTGGCTGGAACAACCGTTCCTCAAGGTCCTACCATGTCAGACAGGTCGGTTGAAGAGCGGTAAGACTAAAAGCAACAAACCCAAGGTCCGAAGGCGAAGTCGTACTGCTGGCTGTACAGAGGTGTGACAGCAGTAAGGTGTTTCCTTCAGACAACCAGCATGACAGCTATGCTGCCTTCCCACAAGGAGGGGTGGAGTTAGAAAAGGTCGACCCTAAAAATGCACACCTCGCCTTATCCCACGGATATCCGTCTCCGGCGGTAAGGTCTCAACAAGTACGGAGCTAACACAAAAATTACCCATAAAAAGGTCGTGTGTGACCGACCTCAAGCAGTTGCCCTTGAGCACTGCGGTCATAATCTCAGGTCACCACCTCCAATCCAATTTCCTTTCCAGGTACCTCCAGAAGAACTCTTTCACGGTGTGGGCAACTGGAAAGTGATAACCACCCTCATACCTCTAACAGCACTCAAGACCACTGTACTCATAATCAACTTACTTACTTATGCTTGTTACTCCCAATGGAGCACAGGCCGCTGTCCAGCATTCTCCCACCCACTCTGTCCTGGGCCTTCTTTTCTAGTTCCATTCAATTCTTGTTCATTTTTCTCATGTCTATTTCCATTTCTCGGTGTAATGTGTTCTTTGGTCTTCCTCTTTTCCTTTGGCCTTGAGGATTCCATGTGGGGGCTTGTCTTGTGACGCAGTTGGGTGCTTTCCTCAATGTGTGTCCTATCCTAACTCGCTAAAAAAACGCTGACCAGAAAAATTATTCAAACCTCCGTCTTCACTTCCTATTTTCTCTTCTACACCGACTTTCACGCTAAATTTCTTTCGACCTCCTCCTCAAGTGTCACCAAAGTCAACGATTCTAGTGCATGAAGCACTGTCCCAGGTCTATTGAAACCTCGCCCCAAACTACACATTGGAGCCTTCAACGTACGCACCCTATGTCAAATCGGTCAACAGGCTTCCTTGGCTAGAATCCTAGGATTTCGTAACATTGATGTATGCTGTGTCTCCGAAACACACATACAGGATCCTAGTGTGCTCAGTCACTTAACCTCACCTCGCCAAAACGGAGGGCCGACGAGATACACCCTCTGTGTATCTGGTGATCCGACGGCCAGTTCTCATGGACTGGCAGGTGTAGGCATAGCACTAAGCATGAGGGCGGAACAAGCACTGTTGGAGTGTATCTCCGTTGATAGTCGTTTATGTGCTGTTCGGTTAAACGGCTCTGTAAGAACTCGGAAGCATAGGGACACACGTCGTTGCCTTTTTGTCGTTTCTGTCTACGCTCCGACTGACTGCAGCTCGGATGAAGTGAAAGATGAGTTTTACAGAAAGCTATTTGAACTTCTTCAGAAAGCTAAACGCTCAGACATAGTTCTCGTAGGAGGTGACTTTAATGCTCAGATAGGTAGTTTAAACCAAACAGAAAGGCATTTAGGTGGGTATTTTAGTATTCCGGCACAACGAACAGATGATGGTGATCGTCTGCTGCAACTGTTCTCAGACAATCGTTTATTTTTAGCAAACACAAATTTTAAGCATAAGGAGAGACATCGTCTAACATGGCGGCTCGTGCACCAAACCAACGATGGACTTAAATAGACCATATTGCCATCAGTCATCGTTGGAGAGGATCGATAGAAGATTGTCGCTCATTCTGGAATACCTGCTTGGACTCCAACCATGCTCTAATGCGGGCACGCATCTGCTTGCGCCTCACTGGACGCAGAAAAGCCACACTGAAAAGACTCATTAGAATTGAATTGAGTGATGATAACACCAAAAATAGATTCCATGAATAACTGAGGTCACACTTAGGTAGTCCTGAAAATGAGGCTGACCCAGATGTTGCTTGGCAGGATGTACAAACAGCTGTGGAAACAACAGTGATATCTATTAGTGATTTAAATAAAAGGATTACAAAGAACCAATGGATTTCTTCTAGGTCTATTGCACTCTCATCTGCTCCCAGTCCAGACGTTTAGAACGATGGGTGGAACATTTTAGAGAGCAGTTCAGCTGGCCTTGAGCTACTCTACAACTACCCTCCATTCCCAGACAGTGTGAATGGAACATTGAAGTAGGTTAAACGATTCTAGCTGAAGTTCAAAAGGTTATAGCTGATCTGAAACGAGGAAGATTAGCTGGTCGAGATGGATTGGCTCCAGAGGTCTTTAAGTATGGTGGTCTAGTTTTAGCGATTAGTTTGACTAATATTTTAGCTAAGATCTGTGACTTAGACGTTATTCCATCTAACTGGTCACAATCACTTATCGTCACAATAAATAAGAGAGGGTTAAAATCATCCTGTGACAACCATAGAGAGATTAGTTTAACTAATATACTATCTAAAATACTAGCCTCGATAATTATCAGACGCCTAACTAAGACTCGTGAACTGCAAACACGAGAGAATCAAGCTGGCTTCAGACCTGGTCGTGGCTGCATCGACCACATATTCACCATTCGTCAGGTTCTAGAACACAGGCATACTTATCGGCGTCCGACAATGGTGGTCTTTCTTGACTTAAAAGCAGCATTTGACTCGGTAGACCGCGAGATTCTGTGGCAGTGTCTGTCATTGAAAGGCGTACCCCAGAAGTACATAAACCTTGTGAAGGCTCTTTACTCGAACACTACTAGTCGAGTCAGAGCTTATGGCGAACTGTCATCTGCTTTTGCAACCTCAAGTGGTGTCCGTCAAGGCTGTCCACTTTCTCCATTTTTGTTTAACTTCATCATAGACCTACTGATGGAAATAACTTTCTTGTCGACTGAATTCTCGGGTATTGATCTCCTACCAGGAGGTCCACTTATCGACTTAGAATACGCAGATGACATAGTCCTGTTTGGTGAAGACGCTGACAAAATGCAGAGTCTTCTGGTAGCACTAAGCAACAATGCCAGAATGTTTGGGATGCGCTTCTCTCCCTCTAAATGCAAGTTGTTGCTTCAGGACTGGTCTGCGTCAACACCTGAACTAAGGATAGGGAGTGAAGTAGTCGAACGCGTTGACAACTTCACTTATCTTGGAAGTCTGATCAGCCCTAATGGGTTGGTGTCTGACGAAATCTCAGCACGGATTCGAAAAGCTCGTTTGGCTTTTGCCAACTTACGTCACCTGTGGCGAAGGCGAGATATCCGTCTATCAATAAAAGGACGAGTATACTGCGCGGCAGTCTGTTCTGTTTTAATTTACGGCAGCGAAACATGGCCATTAAGAGTAGAAGACATCCGTAAGCTACTAGTATTTGACCACAGATGCCTTAGAAATATTGCTGGCATCTGCTGGGATCACCGGGTAAGTAATAGTGAGGTTAGACGCAGGGTATTAGGGAATGATGGTAAATCAGTTGATGAGGTTATGAATCTTCATCGACTGAGATGGTTGGGCCACGTGTTACGTATGCCTGAACACCGATTACCACGACGTGCAATGCTAACCGGTGTTGGGGATGGTTGGAAGAAAGTTAGGGGTGGCCAAACCAAAACGTGGCATCAGTCCTTGAAGTCACTAACTTCTAGTCTGAGCCATGTTGGTAGATGCAGACTACTTGGTTGGGGTCCGCGTGACTATCGTAACCAATGGTTGGAGACTCTGTGTGACATGGCTCAGAATCGATCACAATGGCGTAGGTGTATACACTCTTTGTCTTCCCTTAAACTAAGAGATTAAGATCGCTTCATATCTTTCTTTCTACGAACCAATTCTTTCTTCTTGTATTATATCTCTATATGCAATATTTCTCTTATATATTACCACCTTTGACATAACCACTCCTATGAATCCAGTGTTCATCTTGTTGTGCTGATGCGGTATGGCAACGTGGACCGATGCACATATGTGCCTAGTCCTAATTTGTAGCTGACTGGCTGACTGACTCATGTTATACGTATGTTCGATTACATTTCCTATTTAATGTATGCAACTAACGGCGAAACAAATAGGTCCAATCGTTGTATTTGCTTAAATGATATGAAAATTACCTGTCTCTATTTTAATGTTTCTTTATTAATAGGTTTGTTTGTTTATAGGTTTATGTTATCACATTTACTATGTAGAATAACACTGTGTTCGTTTCATTCTTTTTTTTATTAGACTATTTCCAAGATTCCAGGAGCTAAAGTTGTCCCACCGCAAGGGATATGACATTGTGTAAAATAAACGAATCAAGCATCGAATATATTTATGTTTTTGAAATCCTTTTCATTTTCATAAAAATGACCTATCCTCATATGTTCTCTTTTAAATACAGTGCACCTCCCAACAGACTTTTTTCCTGCGAACTGTTATATGTGATATACAAGATAAATTAACTTTACTGCTTTTCGTTCGATTTCGGCATTTCTACTTTCTTTTCCAACACTGATTTAATGTCTCTTTCCATAATTTATCAGTAACCTTGTCTATAATAGTTCCTTTGATAAAACAGTTCTCTGTTTCGCTTTAGTTTCAATTAGTGTTGTACATTTAACAATTTTCTGATGGTAATTCGTACTTATTCTACATAGAGAAGTTGAGTATTTGTAGAACTGATTTTTTAATTGTGTGTTTCTATATTGATAATTTTGGTCTAGAAAACCACCATTGTTTCGTTCTGTTGTTCTTTTTGTTCTTCCTACTTTGTGAATTTGGTTTGAAACCATTTAAATTTTGTGATCACTTTTTAAAAAAAATCAGAAAACCAGTCTGTCATTAACTTTACCACAGATGTGACAGTACTTGGTATTCGTGCAATAAATAAGGGATGTTAAATAAGGCAAGTAGCTATTTAGAAAAACGGTGGTAATTCACAATTCATGAAACAGTGGGGAACCCAAAAGATACTCTATCAAGTCTAGATTCCACTCATAGTCTAGTAAGAGTTCCATTTATCTTCTATCGTGGTTATCATCATTTTACGGTTGGCCTGGTTAGTAGAGGCCCACGCATTTTACCATAGTTAACATATGGCCTCAGTAGTTTTCTGTTTTTTGTTGGATTGTTTCTGCTTACTCTCAACAGCGACTCGCAGTTGAGTTACCCAAAGAGTTCAATGACGGCCCATACAATTAAAGAGAAATGTTGAAAAGCTAGATCCGAAGCTCTCCGATAAAGGTTCGATGGTGAGTAGACTGTGCTTGTCAGAAGCCAACTTGGTTTACAGTCCTTTAGAATTTTAGGTTATTTGATGAAGACAGTTATATGCCATTTGTTCATCGGACTAAACGTGGACATTCGATAAGTAATTCTAAAAGAAGCATCTCTAATATCATAACATGCCAAGGCCTTGACAGTTTAAAAATGTCCATCTTGTTATCCATGTTTCCACTTGGAGTGTTTTATCAATGTCAAGACCAGTTGTGTCGAAAATCCTGTAACGAACTATGGTTTTATTCGTGACGCTCTAACCAAACCGATAGAAGCCACCAGTTTAAAATGTATCACTGAGTAGCTTGGAAGCAAAAGTTGCACAGTTTGGTATGTTACTTATGCCTATTACTTCCAGTGGAGCCTACCCCGCCAACCAGCATTCCTCAACCCACTCTATCCTCAGCTTTCCTTTCCAGTTCTATCCAATTTTTCTTATGTCTTTTGACATCGTGTCCTTTGCCTTGAGGATTCCGTGTGAGAGCTTGTCTTGTGACGCAGTTCAGTGCTTTCCTCAATATGTGTCCTATCCACTCCCAGCGCTTCCTCCGCTGGGATCTGGTTTGTTCTCTCCCACAGTAGGTTGTTGCTGATAGTGTCCGGCCAACGGATCTGAAGTATTTTGCGTAGACAACTGTTAATAAACACCTGTATTTTCCGGATGATGGCTTTCGTAGTTCTCCAGGTTTCTGCCCCATACAGTAGAACTGTCTTGACATTTGTATTGAAAATCCTGACCTTGGTGTTGGTTGACAGTTGCTTTGAGTTTCAGATGTTCTACAGTTGTAAATATGCCGCTCTTGCTTTGCCGATCCGCGCCTTCACATCTGCATCAGATCCACCCTGTTCATCAATGATACTGCCCAGATATGTAAAGGTTTTTACATCTTCCAAAGCCTCCCCGTCAATTGTGATTGGATTGGTGCATGCTGTGTTGTATCGGAGAACCTTGCTTTTCCCTTTGTGTATATTGAGACCTACTGCTGTTGAGGCTGCTGCTACACTGGTCGTTTTCTCCTGCATTTGTTGTTGCGTTTGGGGTAGAAAGGCCAGATCATCTGCGAAGTCTAGATCGTCCAACTGCATCCTAGATGTCCATTGTATCCCATGCTTCCCTTCAGACGTTGACGTCTTCATGATCCAGCCGATCACCAGGAGAAAGAGAAAGGGTGAGAGTAAGCAACATTGCCTAACACCGGTCTTCACTTCGAACGACTTTGTCAACTGTCCTCCATGCACGATTTTGCAGTGTAATCCATCATATGAACTCTGTATGATATTGACTATCTTCTGAGGCACGCCGTAGTGTCGAAGAAGTTTCCATAGTGTTGTTCTGTCCACGCTATCAAATGCCTTTTCGTAGTCAATGAAGTTGATGTAGAGTGATGAATTTCATTCAATTGATTGTTCCACAATGATTGGTAGAGTCTCGATTTGGTCTGCACACGATCTATCCTTACGGAATCCTGCCTGTTGGTCACGAAGTTGGGCGTCTACGCAGTCCTTCATTCTGTTTAACAATACCCTGTTGAAGACTTTTCCCGGTATTGAGAGAAGAGTGATGCCCATGTAGTTATCACACTTGCTGAGATCGCCTTTCTTCGGTATTTTGATCAGAAGTCCTTCTTTCCAGTCTGTTGGTACTTGTTCCTCATCCCAAATCTTATTGAAGAGAATGTGGAGTATCCTTGCAGTTGCCGCTACGTCTGCGTTTAGTGCCTCTGCTGGAATGTTGTCCGGTCCTGCTGCTTTGCCACTCTTGGTTTGTCTGATGACCATGCTGGTTTCTTCAATTGTTGGTGGGCCAACATTGATTGGGAGGTCCGTGTGTGCTGCTTCGATGTTGGGTGGGTTCAGTGGAGCTGGTCGATTCAAGAGTTCTTTGAAGTGTTCTACCCACCTGTTTCGTTGTCCTTCAATGTCGTTGCTAGATCTTCCACATACTTGCGTGTCAGTTTTGATGCTCCTCTTCACTTGCTTGTTTACTTCTGTGTATTCAGCTTGCGCCTTGGCTTTCTCTGCCCTTGTTCTGCTGGTATTGATTGCTGCCTTCTTGTTCCTCCTTTCTTGAATCTTATCCATTGTATCGACAGTGATTCATTCCTTATGATGGTACATCTTGTGGCCCAGAACCTCATGACATGTTGAAGTGGTTGCCCTTTTTTATCCTCTCCCAGTTTCTCTCCATAGTAGTTCCTTCTCCATTGAGTAGATCATGAAAGGCCTGGAACTTATTGCTGATGACTATCTTGAATTTGTTGAGTTTGTCAGTATCCTGAAAAAGGCCGTATTGAAAATTTGTGATGTTGTTCGCCTCGTTTTCCATTGCTTCTTGAATTTCAATTTCATTTTGGCGATCAGCAAGTGATGATCTGATGCTATATCAGCTCCTCTCTTGGTTCTCATATCCTCCATTGTGCTCTTGAACTTTTATTGATGCAGATATGGTCGATTTCGTTTTGCGTAGTGTGATCCTGTGAAAACCATGTGCTTTTGTGAATGCGTTTATGTGGGAATATGGTGCCGCCTATGGCCAGTTTGCTGAAGGCACATAGGTTTGCAAATCTCTCACCATTTTCGTTCCTTTCTCGCAATCTGTGTCGTTCTATGATGTCTTCATATCCGGTGTTGTCCATCCCAACCTTGGCATTTAAATCTCTCATCAGAATGGTCAGGTCCTTTGTTGGGCACTTCTCCACGATTGACTGCAGCCTATCGTAAAATTGATCTTTAGCGTCTTCATTGTGGTCGTTGGTAGGCACATAGCATTGGATGATGTTCATTGAAATGCCCTCCTTCTTTGTTTTGAAGGGGGCTTTAATGATCCTTGGTCCATATAAGCGCATTTTGTGCTTGTTTGAACAGCGTCAATGCAACTCCTTGTGTATGTGGGGCATTTTCTTCTTCATGGCTGGAGTATAACAGGAGCTCTCCTGAAGTTAGTCGTTGTTGTCCAACTTGTGTCGAATGTGGTTCACTGATCTCTAGCATCTCTAGATTGTATCTCCTCATTTCTGCAGAAATCTGAAGGCTCTCTCGGTGTCCCACATTGTTAGAGCATTTCATGTGCCTAAATAAATGTTTGCTCTGGTTGTCAGAAGGTGCAGCGGCCTCGTGACTTCTGAAGGAACTCGGCTTTCATCATGAGGTATCATAGTTCTTCGAAATGAATTCCTTCTGACTCCCAGGGAGAGTTTAAAAGGTTTGAATAGTTTTTTCTTGTCTTTTTAGCGATTTTGTTTTCTATGGGATGGGGTTGCTAACCCCATGTTCAACCCTCCTCCTTTATCCGGGCTTGGGACCGGCAGTAGCCTTAGAGGAGCTGCAGGCGGAGTTTCATATATACTCAATTAAATTAGTGCAGTTAAAAAATCTGAAACATCTCCCGCGTAGAAGTGAACAAAATCCTGTATCTCAAAAGATCTGTATAGTCAAATTGTAAGATAGACATGTTATCCTATGAAATAATGAGTTTATCTCGATTGGTAGATTATAAATGAATGCAATCCACTCTAAGATTAAGCGACCAAAACTTCTAGCAACAATGCGCGTAAATTAAGATGCATATTGAAAATACTGGCACTTACCGTGAGGTGGAATGTCCGTGTTTGGACGGACTGTCCTTGGCGTTTACACACTCACCGTGGTGTGATAAAGAAGCGACACAGGAGGTAGTCAAATTATTCAACACCCCTTCGTGGCGGGGGTGTTGTTTACGAAAATGGGAGGACGGAAAGCGAATGTCCGGAGCTTTAACCGGATTCCAAACCAGTGGTGCACATGGGCTCCAGTATCCTAAGGGAACAAATGGCGTATGAACCAATTGTTGGTCACCGGCTTCCATGGGACTGCATCTCCTTACGATGCTCCACTGCCTTGTGATCAGACCTTCAGGTCGAAGGCTCGGGGTGTGGCCCCCCAAGGAAACCACCTGCTTCCGTTTTGGCACCCGGGCAGTATCACAGCCCTCACATATATCGAATGAGATTTGTGTGGCGCATATGTATTTGGTCCCTCAATGTACCAATATCTATGTGTTAAAATAAAATAATAAAATATAATTACCCCATTGAATATCTATATGTCTCTCAGACGTCTTGTCATAGTCGTTTATTGGCAGCAACTGAATTGGGCATGATTATCGGTTGTCAGCAACTAGTTTTATTGTTGAAATAAATTTCTGCGATCGATTAACTAACTAGTTACATTTTGAATGGGTTGTACTCAGTACCCCTACCTCAGTATCGGCGATTATAATATACAAAAGACCAAACTTGACCGTTGTTTCTAACGAAAAAACATGACTTCTGGCTCATAGAGATAGCTAGATCACTCAATCAGACATTAATTATCAGAGTTATAAACATTCTGTAGGGCAGAACATTTTGTTTAATTACGACTCCTTATGGTTTAGTGGGATGTTACGAACTCAAGGTATTAATGCTGATTTATCATGCAAAATACCTCATTATATCGTGTTAAGAACTTTGAATTGGTTTCATTTCCTACCCAGTAATCCCATTACAAGAAAACTAGATAATTCGATAATATACGACAGTTGTAGACGCATCACATTTTA